ACTATTTACTTATGTTAATTATATGCATAAGAATTCTATTCATAGTAAATAAGTTGTACATGATTGATTGACTGTAGGAAGTGCCAAGAAAGGCAYTGGCCAATGCACAAGAAGAATTGTAAAAGAGGAGGAAAGCACACGATTGGCAAACCATTCATTGTCAGCATGCCAGCATCACAAGCCACTTTTACAAGGCTCAAGGACTTAGCAGAAGAATACGCCAAGTGAGTAGAATACTGTTCATTGGCTAAAAAATCCTCCTGTTGCGTCGTATTTTCGGCGAGATGCACCATGGGATTGACGTCATGTTGTTACAAATATTTTGAGTTTGTTTACGAAAAACGCACGACRTATTTCTCTGGCCTTTCTTCAAGTGTATTCTATAGTATGTTGCTAAGTATCTAATGTGTTTTTTTTTCTGACTTGTCTTCGTTAATTTAACGTTTATTTGGCATAGAAACTTTGTCCTCCGTAATTTTTGTCATCCGCCATCTTGAAACTTTTAACAATACCATGATGCAATTTACCGAACAAGCATGACGTCATTAGGGGAAAGGGGCAAGACAAATAGTTTGTTTGCATAATTGGACTATCGATAAATACAATATCAGTATATCGGTATATTTTATTCATTGGTTCAGCATTATAACTGTTCCTCCTTTCAAAGGCATTTTTGTCGATTCTCGTGACATTAGTGTAATTCCTGGAGGTAGAGATAARGAGTGTTCTTACCCTTGAGTAAACGTGTATGTCTACTCGAGAAATATACATTCTGACATAAACAAACAATTTTACTAACTGTGAAAAGTTGGCATATTGAGCGTATTTTTTGTTTGGAAAATTGTTGAAACTGATTGGGATTTTGAGAGTAAGTGTTCAATTACAATTGCGTAATATTGCTTGTTTGTAATGTAGACATTCAGTTGAAGTCAGAGATGGAGAAGTCTTGAAAGAGGAAATTTCAACTGGCAGTGAAAAAGATCAAGCTATATCAGGTAAGAAATAGCATTTTTTTTCGATGCTCAGCCATCTTCCCCCACCCCACCAACCCATGCTACAATTCCTATCTCTTAAAAAGTATTGAAATGAAACAAAAGGCTAAAGTGAAACTAAATGATATTGATTTCAGATGACTCGTTCCATGAGAGTATGCCAAGGTTTTTCTTTAAGCCGATCAACATCCATGGGGAACCTGTTATGGGTACAGAAGGCGTAAGACTCTCAGACCAAGGTAATAACAGACAACTGCCCATTTATCGTTAATGACAGCTGATTTCTTTTACTGTTGACATTTCTAGGAGACCAGGCCTTAAACYTATCCGATAAAGTACTTGGTTTAGACTGGCGTAATAACCCCAAGGCACATGACTGGGTCACTGTCAAAAACAAACCCTTGGAATGTGAGCAACACCCTTCKTATGAAAATGAAGAAATTCCAGGTAACCTTTAATTACCAGATTGTACGAAGGCTGAAGGAAGTTATCCATCGGTTAAAGTTATCGACTCCATTGATTTTTCCTTGTGTCTATCTCTCCAACCTGTCAGCCCGTCTCCCTTCTACCTACTGTTCAGATACTTTTTAGCCTGCGGTGCTGCCGGTCTGCGGTTTCAGGGTGCGGGGAAAACGTAAAACCGCAGATCACAAGCAACGCAGGCTAATATACTTGCTGTTGACTTACCCCACCCATACATTGATTTATCTGTTCTTTCATTCCGGTTTCATCCAACCCTTTCCTACCTATCCCATCAATTTATTTTTTTTTCTCATTCTTTCATTCGTTTATCATTTCATTTGTCCTCTCCTCCACTTCATTTATCAATAGCTATTCCATCCAATATCTAACTTATCTTAAACCATTCATTTCAGCTTCGTACAGTTGTACTTTAMGGGAATGTCTAGAACTTTATACCGAACCAGAAACACTTGGTAAAGACGACGCGTGGTGAGTTTGCTCTCTAAAGTAATTTTAACAGGAAACAATTTCCTGAAATAATAGTTTATCGAATAAAGAGTTAGTTATTAGAGTAAAGTAATGACTKTGTTTGATCCAGGTACTGYCCAAAGTGCAAGGTCCATCGTGAAGCAACCAAGCAGTTGTCAGTGTGGAGATTACCAGAAGTTCTTATTATCCAYTTGAAGCGGTTTTCTTTCAGAAACATCTTGTACCGTGACAAGATTACTAAACTTGTGGACTTTCCTCTGAGGTGCGTACCCAGCGAGAATTTCTTAACTTCTCATTGTTGATAAATGGCTTTGTTGTTGTTGTGTCATTGTAGCCGTTGTCTGTTCGTCGTTGTCACTGTCGTCGTTGTGTTTTTCTTTATTGTGAATATTATCGCCGTCGTTGAAGTTGTGATCTTTTTCGTCGTTGTGCGCGTTATTTAACCTGCGTTTCAAAGTCCTCATGGGCGGCCTACACAAGACGTCGTCCACGGTGCGTAGTCGTTGTTAGTCGTCGTCGCCGTGTGCCGTTGCGTTGCGTCGTCATTGTTGCTGTCGTTGTGATCCTTATCGTCCTCGTTGTTTGTCGTTGTCATTGTTGTCGGTCGTTGTGATAATTGTCCATGTCTTGCTGTTTTGACTGTTATTTTGACTTCATTTGCTAATTACGGATTGTTCGCCATCTTGATATTTACAGAGGTTTGGATATGACTGATTTTACTGTAACTAAACAACGATCCGATGATAATATTTACGACTTGTTTGCTGTCTCGAATCATATGGGAACAGTTAACTTTGGCCATTACACTGCTTATGGAAGGATACCAGATCCTAATGAAACAGTAGATGATGAAATAGGTGAGTATATAGTTGCACCTTTATTCTGTACAAGACAAAATAGACCCTACTTTCTCTGCATTAAAAAAAAAATGGTATGCTAATGAGCGGCGGCCATTTTGTCAAATTGTCTATTGACAGACTCTGCCGTATATAATACAGGAATTATAAATGTTAAATACAGCACTGCAGAAATTCTGATCTTTTTGACTCATATCCCAAGTGTATATAAAATATATCCGAAATTATGGGATATCATCGCCAATATTTTTTTGAAGTTGCCTAGCACTAGTACTTTCTGAAAAAATATTGGTGGGTGATGATATCCCATAATTTCTGATATATTCTTTATATACTTGAAATATGAGCAAAAAAGATCATAATTTCTGCATATTGCTGTATATGATATAATACATCGATATAAGATTCAGTTATAGTTCATAACTGCATTAACTATTTTGTTAGGTTGGCGTTATTTCGATGACCGAAGCGTCACAGGGTCCATCGAAGATCGTGTCATTTCAAAATGCGCTTATGTACTCTTCTATCAGCGTCGAAAAAGCTTTAAAACCACTAGAAAACCTATCGCATCTACTTCGACATGCTCTCAGCCATCCTCTATAGATGGTCCAAGCCGGGTTCCCTTTGCATCGACACCAAGAGTAGATGAAAATAATGCAAAAACAGAAACTCGGTCWGTTTCTGAAGAAAAGAACTCACAAAGTAAAACATTSAATGTCGAGAACGATTCGCAACCCGAGCAAAAGGACTTGAAATGCGAGAGCAAGAAATACGATGAGCTGATAAATGGTCATGACGAAACTCGTCCATTCGACAACCATGTGAATGGTCTTGCGCCCACTGCAGTCACTTCTGTAGATCAGTCAGAGGTCGATGAATGTGAATTAGATTAAAAATCCTTTCATTATGTAATATATCAATGAAAAATAAAGCTATCGAGTTGATCTCAAAATGTTAGGAAATTTGCCGCAAAGCCTTTACCTCTGGTTGTATGCTACAAAGTTGCAAAAATATGTAATTTATAATAAAATCCATTAAATTATCTGTGGTATCTTTTCGGGTGTTTTTTTTTTTAATAAGCCATTTTAACGTGAGCCTAGTTGAAGTTCTAGAGTATCATTAATWGAAGTGGCAATTTGTCCGGTCATTTCCTTAGACAAACGTCTCGAATCCCGTTGCCTTGGGTCTAATTCCCGTGTGGTTGATAATCCAAGAATACTTYTAAAAGCTCTACGGTACTTAGGYAGTCGTAGTGCGTATGCTATGGGGTCTAATGCAAACTTAATCAAGATGAAATCATTGCAGTAYGTACTAGCTATAGCATAATGGTTCCGGTATTTTCGATTTGAAGGCAGCCAGTAAAATCTGAGGTAACCGACTATAGTGATAGGAGAACTGAACAATATCACAAACCCTGCAAGGAGTAGAATCAATATTGTAAAGTTACGGCTACTAACACGTCTTGCCTCGCTCGTTATACTCATCCGTCTTGACTGCGATCTAAGGTGCAAACGATAGGCGTTGTAAAGAGTGATGTAACCCACGATTAAAGCAAATATCACCAATGTTGTATTAACAACTAGATCCAACTTGTAYACCAAATCCCTGTTCACTCCSAGTACTGGAATTATCGAGAACAGAATGACATAACACCAAATACAACCAACACAAACYACACTTTTTGTCGTGTTGAAACTTGCTTTGTATTTGTGAGGCCAACCAACAGCTAAGACTTGGCACCAAGTCARTGCCAATAYMGTCATAAAMGAMGCGTTTAAGAGTACAGTACTGACACCTAACGAAGCTCTGGCTGCTACAAGAAAAGGTCTGTACGTTTTACTGGCTCTTCGCTTAAAGTAGATCATCAGCTTGATGTAAATGATAACAGGTTCAAGCAATAAACCTATGAGCATGTTGGCWACTGCTAGGCTCATCACGAAACTTGACGAGGCGTTTTTGAAACTTTTAAATGGGTCTTTCCAAGTTGCCACGAGAAGAAGGCTATTTCCAACAACGGTAATAAAGATGAGAAGTAAAATAAAAACGCACGAGAACAGCTGTGATTTGTAGTACAGGTTGATTAAAATAGACGCAGAGCTAGAATTTGTGAGATTCGCCATCTTTGGCTTCGCCTACCAAGAGCGGAACCCGAGACCGGCCTGTTTTCAATATTTGATTCGATGTCTATGCAATGTATATGGATCCAAAACTATTTCGTCGTCGCTCTTCTAGGTAACAAAGTAAATTTGCTTTATCCAATGTATAATTCTTTTTGTTTATAATTGCCTTTTTCAATATTTCAGAACTCTTCATTCAAGAAATTGACTTCCTTGTCGAGCTGAAATCAAAGAGTGAATCGTTCCTGTTGACACRACTCAACCTGGAAATTAATAAAACTGGATCAGAGCGAGTTTGTTCAGCTGAGCGACTTGTGCCTGCTTACGTGCAACAAGAACTGTTGAATACTCTATTTATGGGTGAATAATGTCTCATATAGACCCTCGCGAAGTAATACCGATGTGGGATAGTAACCATAGCTATAGTTCACACCTAACTCAAGAATTCAAGCGATTTTTCCGATCGTGATGAAGCAATTACACCATATGACATTCTGTGTCGTATTCAGACACCTCTTTGGCATCGAATTCATATTGCAAATCGGTATTATTTGTACATGTNGGATCCAAAACTATTTCGTCGTCGCTCTTCTAGGTAACAAAGTAAATTTGCTTTATCCAATGTATAATTCTTTTTGTTTATAATTGCCTTTTTCAATATTTCAGAACTCTTCATTCAAGAAATTGACTTCCTTGTCGAGCTGAAATCAAAGAGTGAATCGTTCCTGTTGACACGACTCAACCGGGAAATTAATAAAACTGGATCAGAGCGAGTTTGTTCAGCTGAGCGACTTGTGCCTGCTTACGTGCAACAAGAACTGTTGAATACTCTATTTATGGGTGAATAATGTCTCATATAGACCCTCGCGAAGTAATACCGATGTGGGATAGTAACCATAGCTATAGTTCACACCTAACTCAAGAATTCAAGCGATTTTTCCGATCGTGATGAAGCAATTACACCATATGACATTCTGTGTCGTATTCAGACACCTCTTTGGCATCGAATTCATATTGCAAATCGGTATTATTTGTACATGTCGTGATCGATGTGACATTATAAATGCAAGCGTTCCTCGCGAAAGGAAGATAGCCATCATAGCGAGCTTGATCTGTCAAACATTACTCTGCAGCTGTACTTACATGTCTTCCTGCAGGAAGAACGACTGATAACACTTCAAATTACATATGCATTGCTTGATTATGAAATCGGAGTAAATGAAAGACATTTCTTCCACAATGACAGCGAAACAGGTTTAGCAAGTTTAGTTCCGTATTATCAGTTTTAAAGACGGAAAACTTGTATATTTGAATAGTTTGAAAACGTATTAAATCAAAACACTGAGAAAGCTGGTAGTGCTAGGCGTTTTAATGCAAAATCTTGATACTTTGGTTACAGCATAGATGCAGTGCATCTAATTACTCAAGATTGTTTTAAACGAAAACAAACTTCTTTACTTAACAATAAACGAGATTTTAGTGTCAGCATATTACGTCTACCATTCCACAAAGTCAACGTTTTGCCTTACACTTTTTCTCGCAAAATATAATATAATTACATATGGTAAAGGTGAACGTGTTCGTCTTACTGAGTACAATATCTTACACGTTGTGTACACAACAAAAATGGACCTACCCCTCCCTCCACAGTGCTTTTCACCAGGGAGGATCTCTACCTCTCTTTCCTCTTCTCTACTWGAGTGCATTTTTACAATTACAACAAACATTTCAGATGAAGATATCATGGCATATTTATCAAGTGGTTTCAAGGATCGCTRTGTACGCTTGCCTTCCGGTGTAAACAAAACCTGGAGGTGTACTAGTGTAGAGTGGTCTAATGTAYCATGCGGSGGACTTTTGTTTTGATGTCTATGGSGTGTGTGTAATGTGCTTGATACATGTCAGTTATYACGCATCCACGTCTGTTTCTTGAAACTTCGGCGATTTTAGTTTCATTCCTTGCTTGACAGGAGACGGTGAATCCTGTGAGCCAGAAAAATCRAAAAAAAAGAAAGGAAGAAATAATCAAATATGAGGCCCAAAAGAAAATTTTGCGGAAGCATAGATATACGACTTCAAATAGTGAACCTTACACCGCTTRCAAGTTAATCTCCTCAAACTGGGAAATGTCCATTCACTGACAGACTGAATATAATAATTTATTCCACTCTACCCTTCAAAACCAACCATCATCAGCCTCCCTGACATCCTCCTCTCCCCTCACCTATTTCTCTTCCTCTTCCCTTTCCATATTTGTTTTCGTCTCCATCCCTCCCTCCTCTCCGCTATTGCTTTTCTTCTTCTCCACCCTTCCCTTCCAATAATGCTATTGCTCTTTCCCAACCCTCCTTCCCCTTCGATATTTCTTTTCGTCTCCCATCCCTCCCTCCCCTCCCCTACTGTCTTCTTCTTCTCCGCCCTTCCCTTCCAATAATGTTATTGCTCTTTCCCACCCCTCCTACCCCTTCGATATTTCGTTTCGTCTTCCATCCCTCCCTAGATTGTCCAAAGTCTTACTGACCTTGGCACTCATTCTACTTGATCTGTTAGACGAAGTTTCGTCCTCAAATTTWCCAAAAGATACTTCATTGGTGTTTTCAGAGATATTGTCGTGTTCCATTTTGCCAGCTTGTCGTCGTACGTAGTCCTTGCGTCCCTGTTACGCATAAAATTCATTAAGTAGGGGCCTTCAATAAATGTTCATCCACAAATACAGGAAAGTACATGATTTTTATGACGAAAGTTTTCGAAATATTTTCGAATTTTCACAGCGTTTTCGGATTATCTTTATTTCATATTTCTTGACAGAAAAGTCATAGTAAGTATAGGCTTAGAACAACAACAAAAGCAACAACATACATAACACAACAATAGCAATAAAAACAACAAATACAACAGCTGAGAAAGAAATGCCCATCGAGCCATCATCAGGCATTACGCAATAAAAACAAGAACACTAATTACAGCACAACAGCACCAATATACTTACCTCTCGTCCAAACACGATCATGGCTACAGACTGAAACAGAGATAAATAAGATATATTAGCTTGGGTTCCCTGTAATGCTGTAAACAACACTGAAGCAAACGGTTTCCTAAATCACTACTTTCATTGTTCCGGGATCCCAGCACCTAYCCAAATTRCACCTTCATTTGCACTTTTCTTACTTTTCATACATCTTCACCGAATAAAGTGAGCTTTTGTCGGTGTCCCAATTTTTTCCCGCTTTTACCACGAACTTATAATTACTCGCGCTCAGTAATAACTCAATTGCAGTATGTTAAGGAAATCGTCAGAAAGAAGCAACATTTACCTGCAAAACAACTGATGCAGTCAAAAAGTACTGTGCCACAAAGGATTCTTTGACGACAGTTTGATAAGCCATGATACAAGTAAAACCAAACAACGCMAGGAGAGTTGCATCCTTTAACATGCGATACCTAAACCGTGACAKCATTAGCGTTCTTTCCTTATATACATATATGTACGAAAAAGGAAAGATCCTTAGTAGCCACAAGTTTGAAAATGGTCGGATTTTGAAAAATTCCTTCCAGTTTTCTGGGATAACACTCAACACAACAGTTTTTGATAAAGAAGGATGTATTGGTTCTTTTTGTTGCGAATGTTGGATTGAAACCGGATCGACCGGTTACATATAAAAGAGTAACCATTTATTCAAAATACTCACATCATTGGGTAATAAAGATATTTAGTTTTCCTCTCTTGTGTTGGGGCAACAACGGCACCAAGGACTAGGACATTCAACTGCAAAAAAATATCATTCTTGTTAGATATAGAGGACTTACCCTAGCAATAGACATGTGAACCTTTTACGTCACTACTTGATTTTCAATGCATTGTGGGATCAGTTTCTAGAGAATACAAATGAAGTCCACCGTGTTTTGTCCCAAACATATCCTACAATGCATTGTGTATACGGTACATGACGTAAAAGCTTCAGGGGACCATTATGAGAATGCATGCTCTATCTGTCGGACAAAACAATATTTTCTAGTTACAAAAAGAGCAATTAAGTTGCTCTGACGTCACAATCGAGATGACTTGTCCATGAAAGTTATTAACCGATAGGTCACGTGATTTGCAAGAATAACGTACCATGACAACAATAAGCAATGGAGCTCCATATCCCCACATGGACCCAGCAGCAATAGCCGTCCAACACCTGAAAATATCAAATGKTGATATCRATGATATGAATATAGCTTTAATCGCAGTGGTATCACCTCGTTAGTCCGGCCACCGAAAGGCATCTAAAATTGTCCGTATTAACTGATTGTCCGTATTTTAACCGGTTAGATAAGTATGATCGTAGAAGGACAATATCTGGTCGTTATAACAGAGCGACCGTAWTGAGCGGGTGGCCGTGGTTCCACTGTAAATTTCAATAATGTATGATAGTGCATTGTTTGTRTCATAGGATAAATTACTTACACGTCAAAAGGGTTTTCGATGTTCACCTGGATGCCAATGGCAATCAGAGATAACAACAGAGGAAGACCTATAGGAAAACAGGTTAGTGACTTGACATCAAGACTCTGTCATATACCAAATTTGACAAGGATAACAACGGTTCTCAGAAAACATTAACAGCAATGAAAGTTACAGTCAGCACCCTTCGGAACGAATCTCATGATAGGTTGAGAAAACAATGGATAAAAAAGTCTTACCAAACAATAAATCAATTTTACCAAACCTCAACGTAACAGTTGAAATGCTCGGTGGATACCTTATACGCCTACTCACCCCAGCCGAAGCCCACGTATACCATCTCAATATTTAATCCCGACGCAAATATTTCTTTAATTTTCCCATGAATCCTGAGACCATGAAGCATTAGCCAGAAGAACTGAGCCACAACAGAAAAGTATTCCAGGAAGGCCAGGAAAGTGCACAAATGCTGGAGTAAATGAACAGATGGTCTAAATATTTGTGTAAGGACGGTATCGTAAGGACTAGCGCCTGGGGATAGTTTTGGGACCATGGAAGGGATAKAGTGGGGAAATAWTAAGGGGACTAGGGGCGAGTCCAGGGGGTTTTCATTGTTGCAAAGGACACACTTTAACGCCGCAACATGTTGCGTCATTTTCAAACAATATTGAACGTGCATTAAGTAAAAAGAAGGAAATAACCGTCTAAACATTTACAAAGGGAAAGCATATTCCGTTCTTCGTATCTGGACACGCCCTTGACCAATTTCTGGACCTACCCCTATGGAGGCCACTGGGAGTACTTACCTTTTCAGCCTCCACGTTTGCACCAATGAGGAAKGTCATCATCATCAGTATATTAGCGACGCACATGTTGATACGCATCACTTCTCCACCATGTATGTCTCTAATAGGTTCACAAACATATTTAGTGTTATGATTTTAATTAAGGCCCATTTTTACTAAGTGAATGAAGCTGGAATTAGGAAAGGTATTAAATTCCTCAGGCAATACTTACACTTTCCAGATAATGTGAAGTATAGCGATAATRAGAATAAAGAAAGACACGCCGATCCCTGCGTACGTGTTTGCGAGCAGCGAAAATTTCTTATGAACAACCTACARACAAGAAATCATTGGTTACTTCAGTCGATYATAATTGTGGGAAGGAAAGGTTTATTTCAAATGCTCGGAATGAATTCTGGTTATTCTGCTTCGAGATCAACGGATGGGATTCCGGTAACACTGGAAAAAATCGCGCGCTTTAAAGGTTATAAATTTGATGTAAATATGTTGTAAGTGTCCAAAATTCTGTAAATTTGATGTAAATGATTTCCATTAAATTTACAGAATTTTGGRCACTTACATCATATTTACATCAAATTTACAACCTCAAAAAAGCGCGAGATTTTTTCCAGTGTAAATACKAGTGAAAACACTGAAGCCAGTAATAATATAGTCTCCTTCGCATCCTCCCCTTTTGCCGGCTTCTCTCTTCTTTTGGGAGGGACAGGAAGCCCGACAAAAGGAGAGGCTGTAAAGGAGAYTAGTAATCAATGCATAGTCTGCGTCACATCCGGACAAAGCACGGTTAACGGATGTGACGCAGACTATCAATGCAGCGAACTTTAAAAAGATCAAAATGATATCTGTGTGGTCGCATTTCAATGCATGGGTCCACAGACTGACAGTTTATTCACATTGTTCAGTGTCTTTATTTCATCGTTTATTTCTTTCCAGTGACTTCCATTCATAATTCCAAATATTCACACTGCAATTCATTCATCTGTTTATCAGTTCATCATATAGTCATTCTTTCATTTATCAATATATTCCCATCTATTCATTCCCATCTATTCATTTATTCATTTTGTATCTGACTTACCTTGTTTGTAACTAATACAGTGAATATCCCAGTGTGTTCACATTCGCAYTCTGTGTGTGAAATATTAGAGCTCTTMACCGTACACCCTTTTCTTGACCATGCATCATTGCCCTTACTGGAACAAAAATAAACAATTGATAGAAGTATGGTGGATGACACTATGTCGAGCGGTGCTGTTGATGCCCTTAGCACCACACATGACGTCATCGTGCTAAAGTTAATTTATTCAAGCCTATTTGACATTTTTCAGTCGCTCTAAGTTGTTTATATAATGTTTTATTTCTACAGGAGCCCATTACTACCTAGTAATGGGGTAATGGGCTCCTGATTTCTAGCTACTTCGTTTTCGTTGCCGTCGATCGCCTTGATCGGCAGTTGTAGTTCATTTCTGTCTATTTCGTTGCTGTAAACTTTCTTAACTGATATTGTCAAAAACGAAAAACCAAGTTTTGGATACTATGCTGTTTTATACGTCGAATTTTAGTCGCGTCGAATGCAATTGAGATAACGGATATTATAGGAAAATTCCATGGATGACGACACATATATACTACAGTTTTCAGAGTGTTCAGAATCCATATTCCTCTAACTTGTTCTCAGGCTACACTCTGCCAACTCTTCTCGGATTTATGGCGGTCGCTGTTCGACCTCTCTGGTGAATCCAAGTTCACTATCGCTTTCTAGCTTCAATATAGCAATTTATTATGTCTTCTATCGTCACAGATTTTCTAAGTTCAACACTGGGTTTGCTATGGAACAAGGTTGGTGACTCAACAACAGAGAGGGACGGCGATGTCACCGATGACAAAATTCGTGAGTTCGTTGTGAAAGAGCTACTCAAGATCAGGACGACATACGATGATCTTTCATGTAGAGATCTGCTCAGCAGCTACACTTTGTTGCAGGAAGGAGTTCAAGCACTTATTKCTGCTCTTGAAGAATCAAATCTAAAGCAGAAAGCTCCGACAAATGAAACCCAAGATGACGATGAAACATCAACAACTGCAACTGTTGGATCTAATGTTTTAAACGAAGTCCTTAAACTATTTCAAGCCGTCAAGAAGATAAAACACAACTCGAGTAAAGAGTTTGAAGTGGCCAAGGAAAGATTTATGGATGCACGTAAAAAAGCAACCGAAGCGATCAGTATTATAAACACATTAAACATTGAAGACAAAATTGTCGCAACGAAGCTTCGAATAGTTTCTGAAATATTAGAATGTCTGGACAACCCAGACAAAGCAATCACAGGATGCCTATCGGTTTTGGAACAGATTCATAGCTTACCTGACATTCAAGAAATATTCAACGTGTATATACAGAATCAAAATCTCGAGTCGTTGAATAAAAAATGCRTCGACAATGTGAAGTCAGTGATGTTGATAAATTTCGTGCTATTTGAACACGTTTTGAAGTTCAGCAGTAACAATCCAGCACTGCGTTGGCCRACAATCGAACTTGATGACCGTAGTTTTAACCCAATATTACACTGGATGCTGATTTCGGAAAGAAAGTGTATGGGAAACGATTTACACCAGCATCCTGGCAGATTCTGCCAAGGACTAGAAATACAACCGTATTATATAGCTGTGAACAGTCGTAGTGAACTYATTGATTTTACTAGTACCTACATGTATGATAAAACTATTCAGTTCATATCTAGAACTGGAGAACGGTTTAAGAGGATGAWATTGCCAGACCCAATGGAATTTGAAAACATCACAGAACACGGRATTAAATGTCTTGCCATTGATAAAGAMAATAAGKTGTATGTGATAAGGGAGATTAAAACACTTGATGGCACTAATWTTTGTGCACTTTATGTGTTCAATGAGGACTTTAGTGTCATGCACACATGTGCTTTGGATTTCCTCRGGGTACATGTAGGTGAAGAAGATGAAGATTTATCAAGTAAAATTGCAATAAGCAAAAACAATGATATCATCATTTGTCAAAACAATGATCCCAATGTGTATATATGTGACAACATTGGACAGTTGAAGCACAAGATTGAAACAAATGATGACGAAGGCCGACCCATCCTCTGTATTAGTGATAAAAGTGATATCATCATAACGCGTGACTGCAGCGATGAACTGGAGATATACACCAAGGAAGGAAATCTGAAAGCAAGAATAAATGTACCAGACCAGCACAATATTTTGAGCGTGGCCTTTCATCATGTGATGWGCAAAATCATYGTTCTAACCAGAGACTATGACACTGTCCACCATCTCTTATTATATTCASAGTCAGGTGAACTGGAGACCACAGCATTGATTCGCGAYGACTTCGGATGGTGTCCAGCAGTCACGTCTCATCCAAGTGGAGCATTTGCTGTTGTAACATCCTACCATGTCAGGTTTATTTATTAATGTTGTCTTTCATTCTACATRTAGCAAAGATTTCATTTGGTATTAGCGTCAAACTTCTTAGCAAGAAGATTGCATCAYCTACTGTCGGTCCCCGAAAATAAATGCTGGGGAGTCACCGTGGACTGTAGTCTAACATGGCAAACATGTACCTCAYGTAGCCTCAAATATATAGGTAGCTCTTCTGAACTAATAGCGTGAATATCTGTTAATATTTTAATCAGTTATAGACAAACAAAAGCGACTCAAAAATGCCAAATAAATATTGAACAAATCAATAAATACATTAAATGAGCTTGTGAATGATGATATCATGGTCAGTTTTAAGTAAACTGCCAATATCACCCCATAGAACATCTCTTCCTCTTTATACTCTTACAGAATAATCTAGGGTTCYAGGAAAATGTGTGTATTCTGTAAAAGGGGTGTGATCATTGTATCTTAACTAGCAGTTATATTTAGCTAATTCATAGCAACAAAAGCTAGTATCTTAGTTTTGGGGTAATTTAAATTTTTTTTGACACAAGGATAAAGTTCCAAGATGTATTCACCTGTAGCTTGAGTTCCATGTTACACAGGTTTTCTTCAACAAGTAATAAGAAGGGAAAAGATCCTTGTGCTGAAAATAAAATACATAAAAAAGTAAACAGAGTTTTATCATGTCCTTACTTTTTACATTAAATAAACCTAGGAAATGGTGAATGATTATCTATCAGAATACTATTTTGCTRCATTTCACTAGCCTAGTAACCAAGTATTCCTTGCAATTAAGCGCAAGCAGTGATGCCATGAAAGATTTAGGAACATGAAATGCCTGGGTGCTAAGCAGATATTTCCCCTGAAGATGGCTCATGTCATAATTTGTTCAAGTTCATAGATGTTTGTCTAAATAGAGTTGKCCTTGGTATCCCAAAATGTTTGAACCASYGTGTGCATAGTTGTGAACCAGTATATAATATGACAAGGTATACCATAATATGCTTGAAGGTCATGTTGATCTTGGTTGAGCCTTTCACGGGCAAATCTTTTCTGTTAGTAGTAACACCAATTATGCAAGCAATGATGTACGCAGGCATCTCGAAGTAGCATTCACTATTTCCAAAGCTGAAAAACAAAGTGTAGATACTTCAAAAAAGGCCATTTTAATGGTTAAGTACAACTGTATCAGTGTTAATCAGTGTTAGTGATGATTATGATAGTGATGCTTAGCCTTTTTYACAGCAATCACTAGGAGTCACGGATTTTCTGTAGTTTTGCTGGCAGAGGGAGAATGGGAGAGGGAAGCAGATTCCTCTTATATTTCCTTTCTCATGAGTAGTTCCTAGCGGTCAATATGTTACAAAGGAAGGCGGAAGGAGTAAAAAAAGAGTTGCCTGTGGAAGAGGCTAAGTGATTCTGGCTATGATGAGGCTAAAACTTGATGACGAGCATCAGATGGAGTATGAGTTTTAAAACTGATTGCCCTTAAGTCCATAATCAATTCACTTTTAAAATTCAGTGTCAATATGAATATCCTCACCTCTTTGAACATGTCGTTGCTTTGCCTAAAGGCACCAATGACTCGTTGTACGTTGGACAAGAGATCACATTAGTCAACGTGACATTTTGTTGTTCGTACTGTATTGGTTTAGGAGCTAGAAATTTGACGATTGAAACGTAATTTATCTATTAACATTGAAGACTTTGTTTACATAGTGCACAGGTGCGGATGTTTGACTACGGATTTTGCGGCGTTTTTTGYAAGTGTAGYGTTYACTAGCGAAATATAAAGCGTAAGCTCGACRTAAGATACAAAACAAAAGAATAAAAACCGATTTTTCAATCCTCACTGTGCAGTAAACGCAATCATAAAAGACAAAGCGGTMTTCTCTTTTATTTCATTAAATTTCCAAGTGAGGACGAGCCCGCGCTCATTACGCATATTTTGCCGCGCTTTTATATAAGTCATCGATGCACAAATCTACAAAGCGAATGTTGATTATTTACTCACGTATCCAYGGTTTCACTACTTTTTTCCATGTAGCAGTAAATCCCTTAAACGTCACCGTTCTATCAGAACGAAACTTGACAARCATGGWTTTCCCAGTGGATTTGATCGTCTTGTTTACTGCTTGTTTGCCACAGGTTCGCGGTAACAATAAGGGCGCGCTTGTTGTGTTACCATCGAAAATTTGGATGTAGTCGTAGAAACATTTCTTGTCTTGCTCAAGATGAAACTCTCCGATGGACAGCTCGACWGTRTGGTTAAAGGGTGCTTCAAGGATCCACGTACCTTCAGCGTTTGAAGGATAGTTCTTGTTGGGCCAGTACGGGCTCGAAATCTGGCCGCCATTTGTGTTCTTCCCGCCAAATTCTAAAATACGTGAGCACTTTGGTCACTCACCACAATTCTAAATGCCCTATTKCATTATGACGTGACGGTATGTTTGCATTACGGGGAAAGATGGTCAAAAACAGTGGAAATTTCGACCCATTTATATTCTCTCCGAAAGTAGAACTTCAATGTATCGAGTTTTGATAAATCAAAGACTGCTCACTATCCTCACTATATAATTTATTTGCTATGCAGTCATTTTGATCTGGCGACCATAATCCTCTGCTTTAAAACAACAACGACGTAATATAAATGAAATAGGGCAAATTAGTTATGTTTGAAGCAACAAATTCGTCGCCGTTCATATGAAAGAAAGAATAAAAGGTCTATGAATCATAAATAGCACTCGTTTTAATTCGCTTCCTTGACGGCGGGAGCGAAAGAAAATTCATCTCCACCGATTGGTGTCCCTTTTATAATATACAATGACCAAAAACATAATGCAGTCCCTACCTAAAACCGTTTTGTATTCAAAAAGTAAAAATAAATAAATAAATAAAAAATAAAAAGAATCCTTACCACATGACTTGTATTCAACGCTTTCTCCCACACATTTTTTGCCGCCATTTTTCGGAGAAGGCTTTGTACAGGTTCTTTCCCTTTTGACTCGGAAGTCATCACCGCAATTTTCATGTTTGGCTGGTTTAGTGCTCGGCCATTTACTGAAATCTGTCCAACCGCCATTGACTTGAAATATAGAAAAAAAATAATTTTAGGGTACGCTAATTAGGTGTTTCTCGCGCGCCAGTGTCATACGTTGAATTTCACATGCCAATYTGGTGGGTTGCATGTGACGTCATACTCAAGCAAAAAATATCGAAAAATCCAAGATATTTTTTCTAAAGAGCTCTTCTTACAGTATATCTTAAATATACGTCTAAATAGTGTGTATGCAAATTTTCATACGAATTCAACGCTTTGGTGTCGAAACACAAAAGTTTTAGTTTGTGCGGAGTTTAATTTATTCTACCGTAGATCGTAAATAAAAACTTCGAGATTCAGATAAATCATTCTTTCAACTGCGTAAGAACTTACTTAAGGTGATTTTTCTTTGAAATAAAGTCATAATTGACCAAAATTTACAATGGAAACCAATTTTTAAAGTTAATTTGAAATCAGACGCCATCTTGGATGATCAAAGTTATCATCCAAGATGGCGTTCCCATACATATTAACCAAATTTTTCAAATCTTTATTCGCTTATATCTTCATCGAAAAGTAAGGTACAGGACTAAAAGCTCGTATTCTAGATAATTTGACTATGCTCTTTATGACTTGCTACTTGGTTTTTGAAAATAACGAATAATAACGAATGATAAATTTTCAGTTCGGGGGTTGCAACCCAATAGAAATTAGAAAATCGGGCCAATTAAAAAAATTGGATCATGCTATGCCCTTAAAATTGCAGAGCTGCATGGCATAGTCTCTCGTAGTCCCTTAAAAAAAATAAATCCCCTTTAAGAGCGGTGGTACGACGATTAGCAATGCATTTTTGCATTGACATACGCCATATACTCAATGTTTTCTGAATTAGCTGTGCGTCACTTACACAACAAGGTTTAAAATTTTTATTAGCAACAAGTTTAACTTACCAACTTCAACTTCTTTAACAACTGACGAAGTTTTGTTCAGTGAGTAAGAKCCAAAAGAGGATACACCGTCAAGGTAGCTTTTTAAGGTAGATATCGTAGCGGCGTGAGTATCAGCRTAGGCCGTGAACACCACACTCCCAGGGCTRTATTGAATTRCATAATYGCRTTAGAAAAAAGCGAAAAAGGAGGATTTCATCCGTGTGAAGGTAACACATCTTACCTTAACTCAAAACTGTGAAAGTTTACTTTCAAAGCACTGTTGTTGCTTCGTACGCTTTGCTCCATCTAAAAGAAAGCGTCAGACGAGAATGAGGAATGACGCCGGGGAGGGTCGAAGGAAGAGGATGTGATGGCAGTATACAGAACGGTATTGAAATGGAAAGAAGGAGAAATGAAGGACAAAGAAGGCACGAGCCTAGGACAGGAAAGAAGGAAAGGGAAAACAACGATAAGAACAACACGAGAAAATATGTTAAGAAAAACTTACCGCTTCTTTTAGATTTTTTGTSAAAGTTTTAAAGTCTTGTGAATTCTTATCGGCATAGGCTGCTTTCCAGACTTCATTCCAGATTCTAAACGTCACATTTAGTCTTTTATCTAGAGACAACAAGGATCTCATTAGAAWTTMAAATAGGKATTTCCCATAAGCCAACTGAAGTTGATAAGCGTTCAGAGGTATTGACTACAAGCAAAACTAAATATCGTTTAGTTCCTGGGAGATCGCTGTATCTAAATGAGCGGGCACGCCGCATATGACTCAAATCGAGAATAATTATACGAGCAATATGAATATCGTTTCAAAGAGTGTCATCCATTGCCTGAAAATATTGACTCTCAATATGTTTATTTTTGCTATTTTATCTAGAAATTCRCAACTAGTTTCTTTGCTCGATGTTACCCTCGATTTGAATCATATTCGGCGTGCCCGCGTAGTTAGATACAGCGGTCTCCCGGCCAATAAACTGAAAGATTTCAAAGAGAGTATTGCAAATGCTACTCTACCAAAGTGGGACTGCATTGCAATAATATTGCAGTGTAAATTTGTCTCTCAATTGTCTTATTCACAGTTCTCTCCGTCATCTTGAAAAAAAATCTAACATTTCACGATGCTTGTCTCACTGTGACGCTTTTCAAGACGACGCAGGGAACAGTAAAGAGCACCTCAGCCAGGCCTTGCGATAAGAGGAAAGAGGCCTGGTGACGAGTCCTACCTAAGCAATCATTGCCAGGGTTCTGTAAGCAAACGTTGCTATTGTTTTGATTGCCCTGTGCTGATCTCCTCATTCGCAAATAGCGGTACATATGAGTGTATTCTTCTGGTTCATCATCGGGTATTGCAGGCAAGTGAACGATTGGTATTTCTAGGCTCATCGTGACGTCACGTCTACTACGGGATGGAGCAGTCTCTTGAATAGTATAGAAAAATGATAGAATGAATAGATGAGACGAAGGAAAGAAAAACGGGAAGGGAAATAAAAACAATTACAGAGAAAAATGGGAAGGGAAATAACAATTACAGATAAAACCCTTTAGTATAAACATACTAATGGTCTATCACTCATACTGCGCTGTGATTGGCTACTCTGCTAAAGGTCTAATTTGTGATAGACCACTCGGGGGGAAAATCAAAATGGCGGCATCTCATTAATAAATTATTTTARGGATATTTCAATTTGTTTTCATTATTTGACCGMTTAGTATGTTTATACTAAAACAATTAGACCTCTCGGCCTCGTGAACTACGAGCTGATAGCCCATTCGGCCTCGCGGACTCGGCCTCATGGGCTATTAGCTAGTAGTCCACTCGACCTCGAGGTCTAATTGTTAAATAGACGAATGAATAAAAGAAAGAAATGAATGAAAGCATTCAAACAAAGCCTAATTACTAGCTACAAGGCGTATAAAACAGTAAAAATACCTTTTATTTGTATCACAGGACATTCAAGAGGAACATCAATTACATTGGCATCAGCACCAATGGATCTTGGATTCATCACAGCAGGAAATTTTGACTCCCTGGTTTTKAGGCAGTCAAACTTCTTGACTTGAAGAGCTATTGGGAAATGAGACTTCAGTTAGGTATATGAACACAATGCGGTCTGCATCAGTCGCCTCAGAAGCACGCGCACTAAATCTGAAAAAAAAAAATCCATTTACAGCGAAAATCGTTGCATCGCGACTTCATTGTTTTGAAGTTTGTCTGGATTTTGTTATTTCCTTCAATCTAAGGTGCGGAGATTTTCGAAAACTCGTTCAATCATTGGCTGATTTGTATAAAGCTCCGCCCTCAAGTCGCAGAAAAACCTAAATCCCAACTATTTCCTTTGAACATTCAAGACGCGATACAACGGTTTCTGCTGTAAAGTGCCGATTCTCGATTCTCTATTGCGGACACTAAAATTACGATYCCCAGGTGCCTTTACAACAAAGAGTTTATACAGTTATCTCCTTTCATGCGGACACCTCTGTATTACGGACATTTATAAACAGATCCCTGTTCCAAAGCAATCACAAGGGAGCCCCGTCTTACTGGCTACCCGCTAGATACACCCCGTTRATACGGTCACTTATCGATACCCCTTTGGTGCCCGGACTAATAGGTTTAACGGTTGTGACGAACCACCACTTGTTTTTGGTTTTACAGTGGACACTCTTAAATTTCGGACGCTTAATTATACTACCTCGAGTGTCTGTAGCCTGCTGACAGGCGCTCCKGCTGTGGGGCCGAGAAGGAATGGGGGAAAGAGTTCCGCTCCTCCTCCCCATTCCTTCTCGGCCTCCCATCAGGAACGCCTGTTAGCTGTCTAGTGTCCGTTATAACCAGGGTACCGTATTATGAGTTTATCATACCATTTGACTTCGTGATATTCTCGTAGTTGACGTCGGCATTGAGATCATTGAAGTTACTTCCAAACGTTTGTGAYTCTTTTAAGAACGCATCCAATGATGACATTAACCTGGAATCAACACCGTCACTCTCTTTCGGTTTTATTTCTGTTTTGACCTCCATCTAATTTGAAAATTAAATGATAATTATAATAAATGAATACAGCCAATTAACGATAAGCGGAGACGGTACCATATCGAGACTACTCCCGGGATGTGTGCCACCTGACCCTTTCTCAGACATAAAATGTCGATTTTTTATACCCCATCCCAGACTAAACCTAWGAATTGTACACCCTATTTTGCTACCTTTCACACGGAATTTACGTTGTTTCTTTGTCGACTGGTAGTGTGACTTATTCTCTACTAAAACCAACCCAAACCTTCCCCTATTCAGACTATAACGACCAAATTGTAAACTATCCCAGACAAAAACCATACCCTACCCCAGACAACACTCTCCAGGCTGTCAGACTTTCTGTGCCCTCTTCCCGTAGAGTACAGAAAAACAAAGAGACAAAGAGACAACGAGCATTACGTTTTTCTCAAAGTCATTTTTCTTCTCTTCGAAAGCCACCACGACTTTGCTTTGTTCGGGAGTAAGACTTGGAACACTGGGCACAGCAGAAGACTGCAAAACAGACTCAGAGGCCGACGGCGATACTGAACTAGAACTGAAAACAGATGAAGGACTGTTTCCGCCAACTTGCGCCGTTGCGGTTGCGCTGACATGTGACGATGTTGCCTTGGTATTAGCACTTCCTGGGCTCGGAGTAACTGAGACAATGATGAAATAAAAACAAATCTTACTAATTATCATAATTATAAGAAAAATCTGATGGTGGTAAGGATAACAGTGATGCCAGTATCAAAAATAAATACAATAAGTATGAAGATCACAATAAAAATGATGATGATGAAGATGATGGTGATGCCATGATTAAAGTCGTTTGAAAACTGAACCATGAGCACCTGAAATATGTTTGTAATGCGAAGAGACAATAATCAAAACTTAAGCAAGATGACAATTTCAAGGAAGACTRATCTTCTCACAAAGGCCATGTTAAGGCCAATGAACTTCACTGTCTTGTATTCATAATGCYCGTTTACACTTGCGATTTTTGCAGCGCGATTGTCGCGCGACAATCGCCACTTTGTTCTCTCGCATCTCAAATCGTACGTGTAAACAGCCTCGCGATTGTCGCGGCGATCAAATATCGCAATCGCATATCGCATATCAAGCATGTTCGAAACTAAGGCGATTGTCGCGCAACAATCGCGCTGCAAAAATTGCAAGCAAAAATTGCAAGTGTAAACGGGCCTTAAACAGCCCTGCGATTATCACGGCGATCGAAAATCGCCGCGAGTTGCAGCTAAATTTCAAGCATGTTCGAAACTCAGGCAATTGTCGCGCGACAATCTCGCTTAAAAATTCGCAAAGGTAAACGGGCATTTATGAATACAAGACAGTAAAGTTAATTGGCCTTTTAATGAGATTGCATTCTACATCGCTACAAACATTTCATACATATTTAAGATGCTCCTGGTTCTTTTCAAACGACTAAAATGATTGTGATGATGACGACGATGAACAGAATTGAATGTAAAATGTTAGACTAACAATGTTATCGGTTATTGCAKATAATAAAAGGGAATAAAAAAATAATGCAATACCCCTGATGCCTGATTCTGTATTGGYGGTTGCATTCACCGATGAAGATGCTGCAATGACATATGTATACAGTTATATAATGGCGGCTAGATACTAGCCTGCGTTACATCCGGAATTTTCTCGCTAAAATCTGCGTCCAAWATCGTCCGTTGCYCGACGTTGTTCATGATGTTTCTCGTTATGCACCCTATTTATTCATCCAACTTGTCAAGAGAAGTAACTTGTTCAAATTAAACAAACTTTGGTCATGCAAATTTGGATCAACTTTTTSCATCTAAGTTACTCTTYTTCTTTACCCAAAATCAAGTTAAATGAACCGGTTGTATAACAATTTGCTGACTTGAAAAAATCTAGGTTCTTAAGCGCARTGTTTTACCCGTATTAGMTGTTTCTSAMAATTTCMGTAATCAAATGCAATGCGGAAAACACGTACCGTTCACGTCTAGTACTGCCGTAGCGGATGCGTTGAGGGATGTTGAGCTCGGAGTAACTGAAAAAAAAATCACTTTTACCCATTGACAAAAAAAAAATTAAGACTTTTGAAAGAATGATGCCTGTAATAGTCAAAATTGGCGAAATTTACTGAAACAAACGATCGAAACATATATGTCTTCCCTGAACCAACATGCTCGGAAAAGATGCTAGTTTTTCCGAGTCGTTTGTTTATATTTTGTTTCTATGCATGATATTTATCACTTCCTTTGATGACGGATAGCCAAGGGAAACAGATATCTTTCGACAAAGCCATAGCTCGTTTGAATTTTAGACGAAAYTTTTATGACTTCWTAAGTAGTTTTATATCAACACAGCAGACGACTAAAAAACACTACACCAATGAATTGTATTGTTTAGCCAATCGTAGCAAACCCTTCTATGTAAATATCTAAATATCAATTTTCAGTTAAACTTCCTGTTATTTTTTCATCACATTGCTTCGACCCTCGAGGCAACGGCTCGATTTTTCTAAAGGTTCRACTTGACTGTTAGATCAAAATGGTATTTCACCTCCATTTTAACAAACAATTTGTACGAACCTAAAAAAAACCCTGAAAACACTTGTGCAAAATCTCAATAAAGAAACTGAATGACTGAATGTTATACTAAAAGATAAAAGATTTTGGATAAAAAAATTGTTTTAAATGATAATAAAAAAATACTTTCATGAAATGCAAAATCTGGCTTTTCTTTTGTGCGGCTTGTAAGTGACTCAACMATTGGATGAAAAACATCCTTATAAAACAAAATTAATATACAAGTTTTTATGGGAAAATATTTGTCATGTTGGGATAATTTATATTCAGGAATACTTATCATTGACAACGGTTAGTGTATTTCAATGAATTAAAAYTAACATTCAGCTATAAAATTACTCAAAATAGCTAAGCTTATACGACAAAAAGCAATCAATTTTCAAGGTTAATAACCACTATAGCAWAGCCAAGAAGACTATTAAGCGGTAAAAATCAATTTGAAGTGAAAAAATTCACAGTGTTATGTGAAGTTCTTGTCATTAGTGGCCGACATATATTTGCACCTGTCCTGGCGAGCGATAGTTAAAACTGCACCAAATGTATTACATACTAAAATATAGAGTGATCTTTAAAACAATCTTAAGTATTCTCCAATGTTTTATCTAACGATAAAGAGTAAAAATACAGAAATAAAAACTGATTTTAGAGTACAGGAATAAGAAATCTTTTTACTGACACAACTATACTGACACAGATTAAACTGCCGCTGCACGTCGATCAAAATCGTGCGCATTTTTCTTTTACAGCTCTAAAAAGCGTTTCTATAATAATATGTCAGTAGAAAACCTCCATTAACACAATTTATACGCCAGAAAAGTTTTTCCCAGAGAGGAAGACGTTAGATAAACAATTCAAACAGCAAACTTACCTGTAGGCGACGAAGAATTACAAGAAACATCAGAAAGGAAACTCAATATTAAAATCTGAAAACAGAAACACAAAACAGAATTGAAAAAGAGAAATATAACTCGCGGCAAATATAACAAATATAAAAATCTTTTATTGTTTTATCTGAGAATAAATGTTCTACTAAGATCCACACTGACCTTGACGAGCAGATATTGTAAACTCATTTTTTAGAATCAAACTTGACCAAGATGGTGTCTTGAGCGTCTTTGCTTGTAAGATTTTCAATATTTTCACTAAAACACGGCTTTCATTTGCGGACAATCGTCGTTTACATGACTTTTAAAAGTTATTGGAAGCAGCAAATAACACTGGTGCCTTCGTCACTGCTACCTTCATTATTTATTTATGAGAAACATTTGTATTTTTTTCGCTTTGGGTTTAAACTCTAGCATAAATTTTCAATCTCAATATATTTCTTTTACCTGAGGAAGGAAAAATTCCACCTTTTAACTTATTTAAATATAGKTCCAATCGCTGTTTGCAAGATTTTATTCAAATTGAAAGCAATACGGTTTTCAAGTGAAAGTAAAGAAAAAAGATTATAAATTACGTCTCGATTCTATAAYACGGTTACCATGACATCACATTGACTCCATACACCTGTTTAATGGTGCTTCTCCTTGTGATTGGTTTGTTGAATATCACGTGACAGAAGACAGCTAAAAAAACAGTTTCATTAGGGAAAAGTCAAAATGATTTCTTATCTAAATTTAAAAAGCAACCTTGGTTGGTTCAATTCAAATTACTTCGCTTTCAGATACGAGTTTCGAAAGCTGAAAGYGAGACATGTATAACTTGACAAATGGCCCTTAAAAGTCCAAAACCACTTAAACAAAATAAACATCTTGAAATTGAAACATGCCACTTGAAAGTTTCGAAAATTTGAAATTAAAAATCTGGAAGCTGCGAACGATATTGTCTACTGAGAGTTCCAGAGCAAAATTAATCTATCTCATGATAACATAACATAACATAACATAACATAACATAACATAACATAACATAACATAACATAACATAACATAACATAACATAACATAACGTAACATAACATAACATAACATAACATAACATAACATAACATAACATAACATAACATAACATAACATCACATCACATCATAAGAGAACAGAACAGAAAATAACAGAACAGAACAGAATTATTAATTCTCTCGCTCTGTCGTTGCAACTTTCTCAGTAAAATTACAAAACACAGTTTGAGATTTTTCTGTCCAGCTAAGGAAAATAAAGTGTTTTTCAAAGTCAAAACATTCTATTTTGATAGTGCATGGGATTAATGAACAGATCTACCAATTAAATCGAAGCAGTAATTAAGCAAACAATTCATCCGTAACAACAAAGGGTTACCAAGCAATGCCGACTGTTGTCAGTAAGTCCATCTATTAGCATATTTACTGCTACAAAACCCCTGGCAAATCGTACTAATAACAGAATCGTGCTTAATCAGAACTTAAACTCCGGGATGAACATCTAAGAATTGGAATTACATAGAAKAGCCCCAGTTCTGATCGATTTTTAGTGGGAACAGAGGTGTCTTTCGTCAATAAGCTTACAGAAGATCAACTCTTTGAAAGCTGTGAAATGACTCACGTTCTAACAAACCCCGACTTTCCACATGGCATGAAATTTCGTTCTAAATCCGTGGATGTGGCAAAACTGCATGGTCGGAGAAAGGAAGGTATCTCAGTTAAGGATTTTAACAAAATACGWAGCCTTTCAAGGCAATCGTGGAGCCGCGAATATGAAGATCCAGGCAACCCTCTACCACGGGTCACAACAAATCACTACCAGACAACTTATAACTCAAGTTACCGATATAAATTACTGGACGAATCTACACCAAATAGACCTACATCTCCCACAAGAAGAAATAACCCACATCCAACAAAGTTAGTCAAAAAGTTTTCCTATCTATATTTTAGTCTTAAATAACAAAACTAATTGATCAACATATGGACTTGTTTACATGCTTGTARCTAAACAACACTAGTTAATATATAAGCCTATATCGTTCGCGTTATGATTTAAGTTAAGAATTTCTAGGCTGAAATAATATTTTAAATGCAAACAGTACTTCATTGAGGGTGTTTTTGCAAAGTTGTTTTGAATGATAAGTGCATGGCTCTTTGGTATACAAGCTGTCGAGTCTCCATTGTAGTCCCATTGTTTAGTATAATATATCCATTGAACCCTGGTGCTTTCCATTATATTCAAGTCCAAAAGTCACAGCGAACTGGACCGCTGCTTTGCAAATTCTAACATTAATATTGTATACACTTACATGCAAAGTGCGATAAAACTTTTTAATACTTCACAACTACAGTCACAAAAAAAAACGTTTTAACTTTTAAGACATTAGTACCTCTCATGGTTTTATTTGTAAAAGTTATCTATAAGTTTTATTTATTGGTTTTATCCAGTTTTAAATATTGATCTACATGCAATTTATTCATTATTAATATGCCTGTGTACGACGAAATTCTCAAATTTATTCATTGTTGCAGAGCTTTTCTCCATCTACGCCTGAGGGAAGCCAGTGGATTCCCAAAACCTAAAGTCAAACTTGGACAGGATCCACATAGAGGTTAGAAGAAATAATTGTAAATAATACAAATGCCAAGATTATGGCCTCCATCTCATTGGAGTACGATGCAAGTTGTACGAAGGGTAGATAAAGTTATCCTCCCCATAGATTTTATATGGATTTAATCCGCTGGATAAAGGTTTATGCGACAGATACCATTTTTCACCCTAGGCTAGTAAAACCAGTCCCAGGTTTACCAAACCACAACAAAGAAGAGCCTGGTGTAAAAATATTATATATAAATATTATCGTTCACTCTAGTTCACCATTTCAGTTTATCCTTCTTCTTGATTAATAATTATTACTAATATATTCACCTGACAAAACATTTAAGTAAAGAAGTACAAGAAAAAACTACATTGCATGACTTGAACATAGAGCGAATGAGTGTTTACAACCTGTGAGCAACTAATCATTTTTTACCCGCTAGCTGGGTCTGCCCTTGTAGGTTTCACTGGGTGTCAAAAGTTAGTCCACTGGCATGAATATTTATTGAATATGTCATAAATCTAAGTTCGTGCACAATTCTTAATTAAAGTTCCAGGTCGACCACCAAAAGAGCCCATTGATGTCCAAAGAACCATGTATTTTACATTAAAAGAAATCAAAGACTTACAAAGACGTGGAGCAGAGGAGGTAAGGAAYGAAAAATCTGGGTCTGCTTGGGTGAGAAATAAAAGTGAAATTGTCATACACAACTCACTGATAACATCATATTAACTCAAATTTTATGTTTAGACTTTAAAAGCAGCCTTACACCCCAATGTTGTTCCTATCACTCAAGCATGGATGAAAAATGCATCACAAAGAGGTAAAGCAAATAGGGGGTGTAATATCCTTACAGTTTTTTCAAAAGTGGCAGGGGTGGGGATAGTGCTAGGGTTTGATTTGTAAAGAGAAACTGTAGGACATATAACTGCAGGTGAGAGTCATGGAGACTCTTCATTGTGCTAACAAGAATATATCACATCTCTTTCTAATAACAGTGATAAGTCAGTGGTTAATAAGTATGTCATAATGTTCTTTGTAATTTTACAGATGCAAATGCAGTGACAAAATTCTTACAAGATACTACAAGAGATGGGGAGCTTGAGAAGGTTAGTGTAAAATATGAAACTGCTTATTTTTATGTTCAAAGCATTTATTTTTTCTTATTTTATAGAAATTAAATAAAAATCAGTAAAAAGTTATCTTTATTTTTGGAAAAGATTACTTCGAGATTGAAAGACTAAGTTCAAATATTATCAACCACTGTTCAAATCCTATCTGTCTGACAATTTGTGTAGATCTATTTCTCTTATTGCATAGAACGTGGAGTATTTATTATTGCAATATTGACAATAATAATGATATTAATTATTATTTTTGATACTGCTAAAATGGTTGAGTTGACTTTGTACTAATGTTTTTCTATGTTTCCAGACTGTTACTACAACGTTTAAGCCTGATATTGTCCCAGCTGTCAGTAGATGGCTAAAGCAAGCTGGTTCAGAAGGTTTTTACTTTTACTTATACTATCACCAAAACACTTTTACCATTGCTTGCATTGCTAAGTGACTAACCCAGATAAAATGCATATAACATGCAATTAGCAATAGACAACAATCAATCAAAATTTTCAAACAAACTGGAGGTGTTAAAGCACTTTTGTTGATATACAGCAGTCTGTTGCTAATCAGAGATGGGGAGTTTTATTGGCCGTGTCAAATGCAAATGGCAGTACTAGAATATAAATTTCACAAAATGTATGTATTTAAATTGGTTGTTTTTTTTAATAGAAAAAGAAGCAGTGATGAGACTAATCCAAACCCTGTCCACCGATCCATACAAGGGAGCCTACATTGATCCAAAACATACAGGTCAACTTGACCCAAACCGCTACCTCCTTGGAAAATACACCATTGAGAAACCAGTTMGGGATTTAACTTATGAAATTAACCCTGATTATAGAAGAAAGAAAACAGAATTCACTAGAGCACCAGCATCATTCCTTTAACAAAACTTGTAATTTTACTAGATACGTTTAGTTTTAGGTCAGTAAATTACTTRATAAAAATAATTAATGTTATRGTTCAGTAAAAAGTTGCACTGTCATAATCAAATCAACAGAAATTGCATGTTTTGCAAATATATATAACAATAAACATGGAGGATCAATTTGATTCTTATTAGTTGGTATGTTTACACACAGCTAGTGAAGCTTTTTTTTTCCTATCTGAGGCATCCTTGGGAACCCAGGGGTAATCTTCTGTCGTTCGTTCTTCACTCCCAGAAAAAATACCCCTGGGCACGAAGTCTGTTAGACCTTGTTCTCGATTCGAAATTCAAAATGGCGGCCAGTAAGTTAATCAACCAATCAGAATGTTCGAGTGAATCACTCGACCAATCAGAGATTTACCGGCCGCCATTTTGAATTTCGAATCGAGAACAAGGTCTAACAGACTTCATGCCCAGGGGTATTTTTGTGGGAGTGAGAAACGAACGACAGAAGATTACCCCTGGGTTCCCGAGGATGATCTGAGGTGAATTACCACATATTAAAACAATTCTCATTAATGAAAAGAGCTTAGTTTTGAGGGGCATAATATTATCATAACTTAGTAAAATTGTTGTCAGCAGTTTCATTAGAAGCTGGAAACCACTAAACTCCAATGTCTATTTTGATCATTGGACCAGCTACAGGTACTTTTGCAAAATTTTAGTTGTAATTCTTGTGGCCCTTTATGATTCACACAATGTTACTTCAAATTTAATTACATACCTGGTGGTTTTTACATATTCTTATAATAAAAACATGATATCAATATTTCTCACACAGTAGCACGAGGGCAATAAATTGGGTTTGTTTGATCACATATGTCACAATAAATTAACTCAAATGAAATAACCACTGAATTACAAAAGTAATAACAATTTGATCACAAATGTGACATGGCCTCGCATCATAACCACATTTTCTACCAATGGTAATCTAATTTGTGCTAAATTATTAGATTTGTGTAATTGTTATGTACATTTGCTGTCAGTATTACATTTGTGACAAATGGTCATTCCATTCGTGATCAGTTTGTGGCCTCTACAATGAATGATTAAATTTGTCCTTTGCAGTGTGCTTTTATTTTGGGCTTCCTCTGCCTTCCCTAYACAGGCAGCCCAACCAAAACATCACTTGGCCATTTCCTGAGGGTGGTTATTACTTGATGAAGGCTCCACTGTAAACTCATTCTGTTCACTCAATAAACCAACACTTTCTAAAGGTCTATGGTAAACACACCACATCATAGATGGCTCAACTAAAGACCTTATTTGACTTGCTGTAATGTCAAAATGTTGAAATCCAAACTGAACTCCACTTAAAGCAAGCTTAGCACCTAGTTTAGTCGCAGGAGAGGTATCAGGGTGTYGCAGAATATCACGAAGATGCATCCAGCAGCCATCTTGGATTTCATCATTGCATAATATTATATCATGTGTCAATGGCTTCATTCTACATACCACATAAATGTCTGACTTGTTGAATGTTGCTTTTGATTTATGTTGCTGACGTAAAAGGAGCAGAGCCTGGAATTCTAGGGGACAAAAAGATAACATGCATTAATAATGAAAATTTTGAAGTTTTCAAGTAAGGACAATACTTGAACACATATTTGATGAAGTATACAATAGAGCAAATGCAGGGAAACCACAAAAAAAACTCAAACTAAATACTAACAAATAGCGGCTAATGAGAGACAATTTGTCAGTATCAATGAACCAGAATGCAATGAAGATGAAATTCACATGGGACCATTTTTAATTCATCTTTATTGCATTCTGGTTCATTGATACTGACAAATTGTCTCTAAATAGCCACTATTTGCTAGTATTTAATTTGATTTTATTTCATGGTTTTCCTGCGTTTGCTCTATTATCTTATTGGAGCCCTAACCTGACTTTATTCCAGTTTCTTCAAAAACCTCTCTTTCTGCTGTTGCTCCTACAGTATGTGGGGAATAAAATTAAAAAAAAGACTCCAAAAATTTCCAACAAAGGACAAATGACAATGTTGTTTGCACAGCCCAAAAAGGCATAATTTCCAAACATTTGGTGACATCATCCTAAAAACACTAAAGGGAAGGGATTGCAATTTATATCGCAATGTATAGATTGTAGACACATTCTAAGTACACCTTAGTAATTTTACATTCAAGTTTTTTTAGATTTACTTCTTTTTTATTACAATCTTAATTCACAATACTTTCAAAGTGCTTTTCTCTCCCTTACCAATATTTTCTCCTTCATCTGATAGTCCACCAGGAAATTTCCAAAATGTTTTATATTTTCCTCCTAGTTTGTACTAATTAAAGCATGGAAGAGCATTAGAAACAAATTTGCATG